AGCAATCCCATTTTGCTGTGGAGAGGCCGGAAGCGTGAACGTCTGGCGGATGCCTCGTGCACGACAGAAGGCTCGTAGAAGGTCAGAGGAAAACTCTCCGCCTCTGTCGGAGTGCAGACGCAGAACAGGAAAGTCCAAGCCGAAACTCTCTCTGAGCTGGAGACGAGCTGCGCGGATCCAGTCGATCAACACCTCAGTGACCTCACCCTTGCTGCGCAAGGGGAAGACAGGGAAGTGACCGAGCGAAGGGAGTCAGGGAGCCGGGTGACTATGTAGTAGAGGGTGATGTACATGGGGGGGGGGTTCTTGGCGCAGAACTCAGCAGGAAGTGCAGCGCGGTAGCGTGTGTCACTAGTGCGAAGGTGCATAGTGAGGTCAGCGACTGTGGGAAAAGCGACGAGGTCAGGGAACAGGTACGGCAGCATGAGGCGGCTAAGGGCAGCAGTGGCAGGGGAAGAGTAGCGTGCAACTACAGCGTCGTACAAGGTTTTAGCACTCTTGTACTGACTAAAGTGCGCACGCTCAGCGGTCGGTAAGTGACGGCGCACAGCAAGACGGGCAGCAGCATCGCGTGTGGCCCACTGTGAGCGAACAGTGCTGTCAGCATCAGCAGGCGGGGCAGGGGAGGCACCAGACGTGAGATCGAACAGGGAGAGACCGTCTGCCCTATCGCACTGTAGGAAAAGCTGCAGGTCATCGACCCAGACCTCAAAGTCAACAGCTCGACCCTCAGCATCAAAGGTAAGGACACTGGGGGTAGCCATGACAGCAGCAGCCTAGCGGTGAGAGCAGCAGGCTAGAGGTGGCGCAGTAGCAGAGGTGCTACGCGAAAGTGCTCTTACCAGACCGTTGGTTAAGGCTGCAGCGGCAGTTGTGGCCGCGGCTCGACGGCGGCGGCTACTCGAGGGCGGCAGCGGCTCGGCGGCTCGGTGGCGGCTCGGCGGCACGGCGGCGGCTCGGCGGCTCGGCGGTTGGCTTCGCGGCGGCTCAGCTGCTCGGCGGCGGCGGCTCGGCCGTGGCGGCTCGACGGTGGCAGCGGCTGCTGCGGCTCGGCGGCTCGGCAGCTCGGCGGCTCGGCGGCGGCCGCAAGAGGGCGGCAGGAGGGCCGCGAGAGGGCGGCGACGGGGCCGCGAGAGAGCGGCGACGGGGCCGCGAGAGAGGGCGGCGACGGGGCCGCGAGAGGGCGGCGACGGGGCCGCGAGAGGGCGGCGACGGGGCCGCAAGGGCGGCGACAGGGCCGCAAGGGCGGCGACGGGGCCGCAAGGGCGGCGACGGGGCCGCAAGGGCGGCGACGGGGCCGTTGAGGGCGGCGACGGGGCTGTTGAGGGCGGCGACGGGGCCGCGAGAGGGCGGCGGCGGGGCCGCAAGGGCGGCGACGGGGCCGCAAGGGCGGCGACGGGGCCGCTGTGGACGGCGACGGGGCCGTGAGAGGGGCGGCGACGGGGCCGCTGAGGGCGGCGACGGGGTCGCTGCGGGCGGCGAAGGGGCCGCTGAGGGCGGCGACGGGGCCGCAAGGCGGCGACGGGGCTGTGAGAGGCGGCGACGGGGCCGCTGCGGGCGGCGACGGGGCCGCTGCGGGCGGCGTCGGGGCCGCTGAGGGCGTCGTCGGGGCCGCTGCGGGCGGCGACGGGGCCGCTGAGGGCGGCGAAGGGGCCGCTGCGGGCGGCTACTGGGCTGCTGCGGGCGGCTACTGGGCCGCTGAGGGCGGCGACGGGGCCGCTAAGGACGGCGACGGGGCCGCTGAGGGCGGCGACGGGGCCGCTAAGGACGGCGACGGGACCGCCAAGGGCGGCGACGGGGCCGCTAAGGGGACGCGACTCGACGGGAGGACGGCCCACGGGGCGCGCCTCGGGCAGGGGCGACTCGCACTCCGGGCAGGAAAATTTTTTTTCAGTGGTGGGCCCTAGGAAGCGTTCCCACCAGGGAACCTGCTCTGATATCATGTGAGAATGAACGAGAATGGATGACTAAGGAATGAGTGTGATACAAATATGAAACCCTAGAATTGTGTACCCCTTAGTATCTAACCCGCTACAGCCTACACAGACTAGACCATATAAGTCCAACAAAACCCAGGTTCGATGCTCGTCGATGTTAGTTCTACTCTGTTGGGTGTAACATTTTGTTTATGTCTTTTCGTTCGTGTGGTACCCTTCTGGAATATTTTCCTTACAAAATGTAACAACACCAGAAGTTATAAATAAACATACCATTGGTTTTGTTGCTGCTAAAAGGCCTAATAATGTGTAGGTGTAAATATCAAAACTGTTATATTCTTGTAAAAAATGATTTTTTCCACACGTGCAAGCCGAGCTGGCTAGTTACAGACAGAGGTGAGCCGGCTGACGGACGAGCCGGGCGGAACTGGACGTGATCGGCTGGGCTTGTCCATTCACAGTCTACCGGCAGCTGCCAGATCCATATGGAGCTGCTAGTCGTGCTGGTTGTTCAACGAACTGCTCGCCCCGAAGACTCGTTTTGCGCTCATCTTCCTCACTTCCATTCCAGCCACACAATTCCGCACGGAATGCCTGCTCTGCAGGAACTACACCCAAGTTTGACATTCACGCACGAGTTGTGCTTCTGCGAGCATTTATACAACGGACGAGAACGTTCTTACTTGTACGCCTCTGGGTCTGGGATCTCTTCCTGGTGTCAACGGCGAGCACCAGATCACCGTAGTGACCAAACTCTGTGGCACAGCACTCGCACTGTGCTCTCGCAATTGCTGTGGAGTGACGTCGTCCATTCATTCCCGTGCGACCCAATCCTTGCTCCAAGTACTCTCAGGCGTGCTCCTCCTTTCAGCGCGTAGCGAGATGGGGTGTGGTCTGGTGGAAGGGGGAAGGGAGAAATACGCAATTAGGAGCGAACATGCGCCTTGGAGTTTCTCAAAGACCAGCTGCTCAGCTTTGCCTGAAGCGTGTAGAAATTGCATTAGGATTCGGAAATGCCGCGCTTCGAGCTAGCTGGCTGATTGGGGAATCCGTGCTGACGGCGCTGCATCCTTCCAACTCTCTTAGTCGGTTTCAGTGCTTCTCATCATCCTCCCGTGCTCCACCATACATACCACTGGTAGCGGTCACATACTACGTACGTAGCAGTTAAACCTTGTATTTCTACCACAACGGAGTCTGGCGCCAGCAAGTGGCAAGCCTCACATCCCCCACAGCAGTAGTAGAAAAGTAGCTTCAAATCCTACTCTCCTTCCAACTGGCTCACCCGCTCACTCTCAGTTGTTTCAGTGCTTCACCTCACCAGCTACACTGTAGCAGCAGTTTCAGCGGCTAAGGCGGCCACACCGTCCCATCCGTCGAGCAGCGGGAGCGGAGGAGTGATAGAAGTCGCGAATAGCGGCGGTATGAGCAGCGTAAAGCCGCTGCATCATGCGGCGCTGCATCGCCTGCCCGACCGGGGCTGCAGCGGCGGTGGTGAGCCGCCAGCGGATGGCGCGTGAGCACGTGCTGCGCGCGCTGGCGCTCGCATGGTGCCTCGCCGCCCTCGCCACTCGCCTCGCCATCGCCCAGGCTTACACGGCAATGGAGGCCTCGCAAGGTGACGCGGGAATGAGGCCACGGCGTGTACTTAGGCCGCCGGTTGCAGTCGAAAACACCCACCCTCCCCGTTTCTTACTAACTCACACTCCCCCCTCCCCTCTCCAACACCCCCCCCTCCTCTCCCCCCCCCTCCCCGCTTCCCCCCCCCCACCTCCCCCCCCTCCCCCCCCCCCCCCCTACAAACAACCCCCACCCACCCCACCCCTTCTCCACCCCCTTTTGCCCCCTCCCCCCTCTTTCCCCCTCCCCGTCATCCCACTTCTCCCCCTTTCCCCGTTCCCTCTCCTCCTCGCCTCCCCCCCCCTCTCTTCTTTACGCTTTTGCCCCCCCCATCTTTCCCCCCCCACTCCCCCCCACACCTCCCTCTCTCTTTTTCCCCCCTCCCCCCTTCCCGCTCCTCCCCCCATCCCCTCTCCCCCCCTTCCACACAATGTACAGTGCAATTCCTGCACGACTGCGAGAGGACATCGAATCGGTATTTCGATGATTGGCAGGAGCAGAGGATCCAAGAGGGCATCCATTGCGAGTATGATGATTACGGCAACCTCCTGTACTGCGACAGCGGATTTATTGAAGGCATCTTCTGCAAACTTGCTGGCCTCTACTGCGACGCGAACGTGATGATCTTGAAACTGTGAGACCACGTCACCTCATCTGCAGTCTGGTTATTCACACACAGCACAACAACGCCATGCTGTAGTATAAGCGCATTATACTTGAGAAGTTTGGGACAAGACAGGCGCTGCTCCCACATCAGTCCCTTCCTAAGTGCCACCTCACCTCTAATGCCTTACTGTTCTTTCAAACCCATGGTGGCATGGCATGTGTGGGCGCAGAGGTTTAAGTTATTCTGGTCTGCAAGGGCCTATTCCGGCGTCCATCAGCAACATGCGAGAGCTCAGTGCAGTGTACGTCCTCCTGGCCTTGTCAACTGCCGGCCTGCATGGCGCAGAGAAGCAACGACGAGTGGAGGGGCAAGGGCTGGAAAGGTGAAGGAGGGAGGATAAGGGCTGAAAAGGTGAAGGAAGGAGGATTGCACGAACGTGTGAAGGGAGTGGCGGTGAGGCGGTGCAGGGAAAGAGACGCCAGCTGTGCCTGTGAGCTATGTTGCGATATACGGACGCGTTTATACACTATACGCTAAGGTCCCGAGACCATGGATACGCTATTTCGGGCAGGTGAAAAAAAGTTGACATGAACAGGAGCTTCATCAGCTTGCAGAAAAACTCTGCCGTCCGCCACCACACGGCATCAAGAACAAGCGCAGCAAACTTCTCCGCAGACTTCTTCCTCTCCCCAACTGCCCAGCCCTTCCACACATCAGACACCACCATCTGTGCAAGCGACTGCCGCAGCTCACAGAGACGGGACACAACAATGTACTGTGTCCCGAATCTTGTTCCTGCCAGTTTCAGCGCCTGCAGCATCGTTACACCCACCATTTCAGGGGTCCTCAAGTACCCCCCTCGTCCAGTGGTGGTTGCGGACAAAGGAGATTTTCTCGCCCGCAGGGTCCACCTCCTTCTTGGCCCACGGCATCTTGCCGACGTCCTCCATGTAGGGGTCCATGACGTGGGTGCCGCATGGCACGTGTTGAATGTGCGGCCATTCCGCGATCAACTCGTTGCACGCCACCGCGTAGTTGGACCCACCGCCTATGCAGAACGCCACCACGTTCTCCGGACGGACCTCCTCCACCACGGGCCTGAGGATGCTGGCGACATAACCCCCGGTTTTGGTCTCCATGCGGCAGTCCACGCTGTCCTTGAACACCGCGCCACTGTCGTTGACGAGAAAAACGTTCGCCTGTGGGCGACCGTTCTTATCGGTCATCATATCAGAAAAACTGTCACGTCAGTCCGCTTCCAGCTCGCCTTCACTCCAGCCAGCCCACTGTCGATGTTCTCGCAGCACAGTCTGTCAGAACCCAGCCACTAACCACTGGGATGAAAGGGCTTGTTTGTGTAGCGGGTGAGTACACCCATAACCCCCCAGGCCAACGTGCCTGTAACCCTTCCCTAAGATCAATCGGGGATCTCCAGTGCACCTCTGACACAGTTGCAAGCCCGCCGTGCCAATGAACCCCTTCTTAGGGGGGACGTATCCTGTGTTGGCGTCCCTAATGGCACAGACGGCGTTGATGAAGAGAGGGTGCTCCGCGATGCGCTCCGGGATGCGACACCCCACGAACATGAGCGCGAACGCCTCATGTGCATCGCGCTTCCCAGCTGCCGCATCCGACTCCAAGTAGTCAGTTATGCGGCTCCTCTTTCCGCCGCTAGTGACCAATGCAATGGCATCCGATGTCGCCTGGCGGCGCTGATCCGCCGCTGCAGCCTTAGCCTTGTACTTCTTCCGCATGGCAGCCCGAACTTCAGAGGGGGCATCCTTGCATAGCGCCACTTCGCGGCGCTTCATCTTCTTCCAACTCGCCAAATGCTTCGCGCAGCATATGGCGGCACCAGGAAAAACATTGCAGCAGAATTTGCACTCGTACTGCTGCGATTTCCCCTCGTCTACCTTTATGAGGCGGAAATGCTTGAACACATCGTATTCGACATCCGAAAGGTAATCTTGCGTCGCACGCATAGGACTGGCCGTGCCGGTATTAGGAGGGGGAGTGGGCTGGGTCGGGTTAACTACTGCAGAAGCCATTCTAAAGAGCTCTCTGAAGGTGAACGGGAGGATGAGTTGACGAGATAGAACAATACCTGCTTCTTAAGTAGCGCGGGATGGGTTGGTGGGGAGAAGTTGGATTGGAGGGAGTTTGTAGATTGAGAGCGGTACAAATTGGCGGAACTCCAATGTCAAATGTCCAGGACATTGCGACTCCAAAGATTGGAGCCACGTAACCCAACTCACAATCGCGGCGCCGCGAATTGAAGGCACGGAAACCAACTCACCTCCACACATTGAAGCCACATCCAGGCCAGGGTAGATCTCGGATGTGCATTTTGAGCACGGCATCTTCTTCGCTTTGAAAAGACGAAACTATTTAGATATACTTGAAATTTTTTGATTTTGGACTGCCCAAAAAAAATTCTCCCGAGCGTATTGTATATTCGTTAGCGTATAGCGTTTTGCGTGTATACGCAAGCGGATAAACGTTATACGCTTAAAGGCAAAAGCGTATTTCGCAACATAGGCTGAGAGGTGGGGGTGTGCATTGAGCTGCATCGGGGTAGGGATTGGCGAGCAAGCCAGCAGTTAGCCAGCAGTAGCTAAGAAGATGGTAGTACGAGAGGTGTGAGTTAGTAGACGTTTATGTACCATAGTCGTAGAACGCTACCGTAACGGCCCTGCTCCTTCATTATCGTTGTTCCTCTTATTTCGTCTTCCCATTTAGTGAAACCCCCACCCAGCCTCAGATTCTTACCCCCTCTTCCATTCGATTTCAATATGTGCCCTCTTATCCAACGTTCCACGTGTCTTCCTTTCTCTTTCTCCTACATCATCCTTGCTTCTTCATTTCCCCTCCATGTAGCCCTCTTTCTATCCTCCCATTGTTTGTATGAAATGCCATTCTTCAGACCAAGCAAGACTCACATTGCTTATCCTACCCCCATCGATCCCTTGCTATATGTCAGTGTACATTCTAGGGCGAATGTTCGTTATCGCCTAATGTAATGTGCCTTTGTAGCATGTGGTAAGGGCATATAGAAGTTATCATACTAACCGCTGGTTGCCAATGCATGGGAGCTTCAACTTTCCGCCTGTATCACTTGTCCCATTTGTGTCCACCATCACAGTGATTTCCATAGGAATGAGCTCTTTGGTCCGATTCCAACTGAAATCTTCACCCTCACAAAGCTGACATACCTGTAAGGCCTGAGATCCCATCTGCTGCACTCTTCAATGAGACTCACACCATCTCATTTCTGTCGTTCTGTGTTTTCCAATGTTTTCTACAAAACCCTCCACATTCCCTTATTTCACTCATCTGGATATTGTCCCTTTGCTATATTTGCACCTCTTCACTCTTCACCTGTCTTTTCATCCTCAGTACTTGTATTGTTTGTTTCACCCCTCCGCATATGTATGCCTCACCATCATGACAGCGATCTTGGTGCCAATTATTTGACGGGCTCAATCCCCAGTGCAATTGGCATGCTTACGAACCTGATTCGCGCGTAAGTCCTCTGTGTTGTTCTCTCTTTCCGCTGCCCCGCCAATCAACCTTTGTGCTCTCTTTGATTGGATAACCTGACTCCTTCATTGGTTGGACGTAAAGCTATCTCGTCATCTTTACTCACTCCTCACCTTTTCCCCCAAACCTTCCTACTCTTTGAAACATTCAACGCGCAACAATATTATTGGTAGTCCTTTCCTATGATGTATTTAACGCTCAGAAAGAGTCAAGCATCAAAACGCTGTGTTTTGACGCTTGACGATTGATGCTGCGTTTGACACCCAACCCTCACGCCACCGTGTCAGCTCTCACACTCATTTCACGGACGGTCTTCTTCAATGATTATAATAAGTGGCACATCAAGTATACGACAAGGAGTATTCAACTATTGTAACAGAGAGGAGATCGGTAGAGAAAGCGTTTTTCATTCATTGTCGACCAGGTTTCTAGCGTCCCTTCCGTCTGAGCCGTTTTCTACCTTAATATATCTAAATGTTCGCCAATCCGGCCACTCCTGCACACTTTGCCGGTGATATTTCATTTGCTGCCGTCTCGAACGGAACATGTTCGGTTTGAGTCGAACGCTTTTTCCAGATAGTGGTGTTCGATGTTCGCCCATGGGGGTGAACAGTTTAGTGTTTAATATGAACAGATAACTGTTCGCCTTGAACACGAACGTGTTCGGTTCGAGCAGTCCTCTTTCGAAGTATGTGCTTGGGAGAACAGCTTCGAGGAAAGTGAAAACGGCCGACGATGAAGTGAAAACGGGCAATGTCGTTTATTACAGAGGAGAGAGAGAGGTACTCGCAGCAGTTTCGACTTACGTCAGGGAGGTATTTCGTCACAAGAGCAAGGTGAAACGCTGGATTGTTGGATGATTGACTTGCAGAAAAGGCTTGAGAGTGGATACCGGCTGTTTCTGAAGGTGGATTAGGATTCTTACGACCATCAAAAGAACCCCTGGAGGAGGACTGGAGCTGCTAGGACCTCTGCCCTCTGCCCTCTTTAAGACATAGCTTAGCCCTCTGCCCTCTGCCCTTTTTAAGACATAGCTTAGCCCTCTGCCATCTGCCCCTTCCCTCTGCCCCCTACCCTCTGCCCTCTGAGCCTATTTAAGGGCTCCTGTTGCCCTGCTTTCCTCATTATTCGCTTCTGTTTTCAGTATGCCACTCCTTGGGAGTCTGTCGGAGGGCGTAAACGAGTCGACGCAGCTGCCACACAGAGTCCGCTGGAAAAGGGGAGGAAAATGTCGATTGAACGCTCTATGTAGATCAGCTCGCGGAGGACGCCCTGGTAGCCAGTTCCCCTGGCTCGCGAAGGACGCACTAGTAGCCAGTTCCCTCTTCCCCTTCACCAAATTGGTAGCCCCCGGGGGGTGAGGTACATCAAGAAAGGAGAAGTTGGCAATCTAGCTCCTTAATAATGGGAGCCAGTTAGAAAGGAGAGTCAGGGTACGCCCATCCCCACCTCGTGCTAGGGACGGAGATGGTGGGGTCGGAGGAAAAATAATAAAACGGGTGCGCAAGAGAGGTCAAAGATGACAGGGAGAAGCAAAAGATTGCAGAGATGGAGGTGGAGGAACTCCTCATGGGAGTCGAGGGTGATGCTGCTGATGCCACTGCGGGTTCGGTTGCTGATGCCGCTGCTGGCGCCACTGCTGGTGCCACAGCTGGTGTTGGTGCTGGTGCCGCTGCTGATGCCGCTGCTGGTGCCGCTGCTGATGCCGCTGCTGGTGCCGCTGATGATAGAAAAGGAGGAGGGGTGGCTGAGGGGATTGCTGCACCAGGAGTGTGGTGGAAGACGGTGTAAAAGAAGTGTCTGAGGAGCGGGAAGGTGGGCGGAAGGTTTGAGGTAGAAAGAGTAACGGGGGGCAATGCACTAAGGATGGAGTGACATGACCTGATGTGGGGGTACCGGGTGAAATTGGAGCGAGGAAGGGAGCGAACTCTTTCCACCGAGTCCGTACTTCTTCCGCCCATTTCGCACCTCGTGGTGTATCCCCTGGATCTGACGCTGTCGAAGAGAAAGACCCCGCCCTCGCTTCAGCCGATCTCGTCGTTGACGAGAAGTTCGCGACGGATTGGTCGACGAAATAAGTTTCTGTAGTTCTACGGAAGTTGCGATCGAGCAGGCTCTGCTCGACAAAATCTGGTCGATGAGCTCTACGCGACGAGCTCCTGTCGAAGAGCGCTGATCGACGATCCTAGTCGAAGGACTCTGGAGGTTTTGGCGAAGATCTACCTGCGGAACGGCATCATGTGGTCGACGGTGCGCACCTGACGAGACCGACGACACGTTTTCTACCTGGCACCTGCGCAATGTGCCTGACGGTGAAACCGCCAACCTGCACCTACTTGGTAGGTGCGCACATATGCGCAGATAGACAACCTGCGACTGCAGATAGCAACCTGCGACTGCAGATAGTCACATGCGACTGCAGTGCTAGCACAACGCACGCAGTGCAACGCTGTCAGACTACTCTGCTGCAGCGTTGGCAAGCCGCTCTTCTGCTGCGCTGGCAGATTTCGCCCTTGCTAGGTGTTGCATGCCATTCTAGTCGTTTTGGTTCTGCATGCCTCAATTGTACTATAAACTTTCCAATGCAAAATTGTTCTTTCAACTTCCTTAGTGGAAACTCTTGCCAAAATTCTCTGTGAACACAAGCAATGAGTAAGAGCGCTACGATCACTTGCACAACCCCGTGCCCTCCTTCGTAGTCCACTCCCGTTGTGTAGTGACTCTCCGCATGGTGCGGTGAGCGTGGAACGAACACGCGACCTTCAGATAGCCGAATCCTGCGTTCATTACCTAAGTTTTTGTAGGCCGGTAGCCATCTAGACCGCCATGGTCGACCCTGTAGTCGAAGCAGGCGTAGAAGATACCCGGCAGGCGCGGTTAGATGATGTTCGGGCACGCCACGCGGCTGGCGAGTACGGCGGAGCGAACGTGGATGTTTTGCTCCTTAGAACCCGCATGCAGTGGGCGCGCGATTATCCAACGACCCGTACTGAGGCGGATGGTCTGCCCGCCACTCCCCGACCGACACGCAACGAAGGTGGCGTCGACGACCAGGTCGACAGTGGTGACCAAGTCGGCAGTGAAGGAGGCACGAGGATGACGCGCGGAGTGTTTCGGGCCGCCGACGTCGGCGTCGGCGGAGTGCAGACGCGAGTTCAGCGTTCGGCGGCAGCGGGAAGCTCGAACTTCGACGGTCGGCGTCGTTCTCCCCAGCAGAGTGGAACCAGGCCAACTTCGACGACTCATGCGTCGGCTGGTCGAGACGGAGGCATTGTGCCGGCGTACGGCTATTTTAAATTCTCGCCGAACAAAATTGCTGTGCCTAAGCAGCTCGAGGGTCGACATGACTTGATCACGTGGACGGAGTCCATCGAGCCGCAACTGGAGATCGCCAAATTGAAGAAGTTTGTAGACGGAGACGTGTTGGCGCCAGACGAGGAGG